GTGATGAAAAGAGCGTAAAAAAACTTTTGGCTTTTGTTATTTTTACTTCTTTAAAAAAAACACAAGAAAGGGAAAAAAACTGTATTGGCCTTTTTGTTCATACTAGGCAGCGAGGGGTCGTTAGGGTTGGTCCCCAGGGGGCATCTTTGGGGTCACCCGGGGTGCCATCTTTGGGGCACCCACACGCTTAAGCCCTTTGGCTTAGCCCTTCTTTTTTGATTATAAAATAATAAATTTGGGGCACCCAGGCGGAATCTTTGGGTCACCCGGGGGGAACTTTGGGGTCACCGGGGGGGGCATCTTTGGTGTCACCCAAGGGGAATCTTTCGTCACCCAGGGGGGGCATCTTTTGGTTTTCCCCCAAAGGGGAACTTTGGCTCACCCAGGGTGGCATCTTTGGGGTCACCCAGGGCGGAATCTTTGGGGTTACCCAGGGGGCATCTTTGTGCACCCAGGGTGGGTCTTTGGGGTCACCCAAACGGAACTTTGGGGTCACCCAGGGGGCAGCTTTGGTTCACCCGGGGGGCATCTTTGGTGTCACCCAGGTGGGACTTTGGTGTCACCCTAGGGGCTCTTGGGGGTCCCCAAGGCGAAATTTTTGGGGTCACCCTAGGGGCATCTTTGGGGTCACCCAGGGTGGCATCTTTTTTTTCACCCGGGGGACATCTTTGTATCCCCAGGGTGGCATCTTTGGGGCACCCGGGGGAGCATCTTTGTATCAAACCCCGGGTGGCATCTTTGGTACACCCGGGGTGCATCTTTGGTGTCACCCAGGCGAAACTTTTTGTTCCCAGGGGGGAATTTTTTTTGGGGTACCCAGGGGGATCTTTTTTTCACCCCGGGTGGGATCTTTTTGGGGTCACCCAGGGGCTCTTTGGGGCACCCGGGGGGAATCTTTTGGGGTCACCCGGGGGGGCATCTTTTGGGGCAACCGGGGGGACATCTTTGGTGTCACCCAGGGGGTTATCAAAAAATTGACAGTTTAATTTAAAGATTTTCTGCATCCATAAAAGCCCAACTCATTAAGCAAAAATTTTTGCATGCTTTGTCAAAGCCAGACACAGGGAGGAGGAGTGTGGGCAGTGGGGTCGATGCCAGCGGGATTCCATCTCACATTTGGTTTTTCAGATGCATGATAGAACTGATAAATTGGCTAACTTTATGCTTTCAAAGAGGGAGTAATTAAATCTTGGCTTGTCAGGGAGTAGTTTGAGAAAAATAATCAAAAAAACTTCAACGAATTTTTTGACTTTGGGTCAGGGGATTTGACACCAGTGGGCCATCTATCATCATTCATCATGCAGGGGGAGCCCCAGTCTATGGGCTCCAACAAAAAAGAACCTTGGATGCACTACTGCCCGGCTCCGGGTGGTTACAAGTATCTTTTTGGGAGGTTAAATCACCACCACCCCGATGTAACCAAACAAATTAAACTTTTGCCAAGGACTATTGTCACAAAACCCCGCGTATTTTGACTGGAGTCGATAAAATTTAATGAATTTAGAAACAACCCGCTCAAAATTTCAAGAAAGGCAAAGTACTTTACCACATGGTATTTCAGAACCCTTCTGGAGAAAATTTCCCCGACTTTTTCAGCTGAAATAAAACATTACCACATAGGGAGGCCAAGCCCCCTGATGACACTCTTCAGGGCACTTGTTTTTATCTAGGGTGGAAAATTGCGCACACTAACACACCTTTTAAGGCAGGGAAAATGCCACCTAAAAATGTACAGAGAACTTTCACGGCACGCAAACGGAGATAAACACCTCAATTATTTGGGGGGCTTGAAGTTCCTAAACCGTATTCCCTGGAACGCAGGAAGGGGAGAACATGATTATATACCCCGAAAATCCTAGAGGGACTAGTACCGAAAATTTCACAAAAGAAAACACTACTACGAAAGCAAAAAATTGGCAGACGATGCCCCATCCCCCCAAAAAAAACAGGGGGGTCACAGCACGTTTTTAAAAGACCAATAAAATGTCAGGGGCCCGAGAGTTTAACGCCCCCAGCACACAAAGGGGGTTCCAACAACCCCCCGGAGTCTCAACGGCACTGGACAAGCACCTAAAGTCAGTTCCCGATCAGCCGGGGTGTGGGTCTACTTGGGTTTTCGTGCAGCCACGCAAAACCTGGTTGATCAGGGTCGATCCACCAGGGGGCCTGGTACAGACCGGGGCCCGGGGGGGGGTTGACCCCCGAACCCTCTCCAGGTAAACTCCAGGGAAACTGGTGCTGTGGTGTTGTTGTGTCACTCACCTAGTTTAGATGCGGGGGCGAGTCTAACCCGTGTACTCACCATTTGTACCACCTATTTGTGGTTTCAGGGGTGACTCACAACCCGCCCCGCCCTTCCTGATTGCTACAGGGCCTCTCTCTCCCTCTCCAGAGCTCTATCATACCCGCCTTAAAACAAGACTTTCCCGTTTTGTGTGTGTTGTGTGTGTGGTTTTGTTTGTGGTGTTGTGGTTTTTTGGTGTGTGGGTGTGTTGTGGGTTTGTGTTGCGGTGAAAGTGTTGAGTGTATATAGTGTGTTGTGTGTATGGTGTGTTGTTATGAGTGTGTGTATAGTTTGTGTGTGTGTGTGTGTGGGGTTTGTGTGGTGTTGTGTACTCACCTTTTTTCCACCATTTAGGTTGCGGGGGTCGAGTCCCAAACTCCTGGCCCGCCTTACTGATCGCTACTAGGGCCCCTCCCTGACCGTGAGCTTTATATACCTCTGCTTAAGCAGTATGGACCTGCCCCACAACGCTTCCCCAAAATTTCCACTTACGACTACTCTTTTGGCTAAGAAAACTTTCCCAACACCCTGTGATTCATCTGTGTCTTCAGCTTCCAACTGTGTCCCCTTGTTACTGTGTCCAATCTCTGGAACATCCTGTCTTTGTCCACCTTGTCAATTCCACTCAGTATTTTGTATGTCGTTTATCATGTCCCCCTATCTCTCCTGTCCTCCAGTGTCGTCAGGTTGATTTCCCTTAACCTCTCCTCGTAGGACTTTACCTCTTAGCTCTGGGACTAGTCTTGTTGCAAACCTTTGCACTTTCTCTAGTTTCTTCACGTGCTTGGCTAGGTGTGGGTTCCAAACTGGTGCCGCATACTCCAATATGGGCCAAACCCGTACACGGTGTACAGGGTCCTGAATGATTCCTTATTAAGATGTCGGAATGCTGTTCTGAGGTTTGCCAGGCGCCCATATGCTGCAGCAGTTATTTGGTTGATGTGCGCTTCAGGAGATGTGCCTGGTGTTATACTCACCCCAAGATCTTTTTCCTTGAGTGAGGTTTGTAGTCTCTGGCCCCCTAGACTGTACTCCGTCTGCGGTCTTCTTTGCCCTTCCCCAATCTTCATGACTTTGCACTTGGTGGGATTGAACTCCAGGAGCCAATTGCTGGACCAGGTCTGCAGCCTGTCCAGATACCTTTGTAGTTCTGCCTGGTCTTCGATCGAGTGAATTCTTCTCATCAACTTCACGTCATCTGCAAACAGGGACACCTGTGTGTGTTTATGTGTGTGTGTGTGTGTGTGTGTGTGTGTGTGTGTGTGTGTGTGTGTGTGTGTGTGTGTGTGTGTGTGTGTGTGTGTGTGTGTGTGTGTCTCAACAATCAATATTTGCACCAATAACTCATTACAGTTGTGACCGGGTGTGGAAGTGTGAATTACTCATTACTCTATAATTTGTTCATGATTGTAGCCATGTATAAACGTAAGTAACCATTCTTACAGGATTCATTACCTTTGTAACTTGTGAGTTCATTACCTTGTACCTAGTTCAGCTATCACAACTTTGGGGGCCCAGTCCCTGGACCCATTACGTACCTCTGTAATCTGTAAATACCATTGTAACTTGTCATGATTGTGACTAGACCTACCTGGAGCTCATTACCTTTGTAAATTGTGAATTCATTACCTCTGTAACTTGCTCAGCTATCAAAACTTTGGAGTCCAGTCCCTGGACCAATTATGTACCTCTGTAACCATTTGACTACCGCCCACAGGATGGGTATGGGGTGCATAATAAACATATTAAACTAAAACTAACTAATCAATCACCCACAGTTAAGTAACCCTTCTAGTTATAGCAAACTGATACTGGCCAGTTAGGTATGTTGTAAAAGGATAGGTTATGGGTGATCCAGCTACATCAAGTGACCACCAGAGAATATCTGGTAAGTGGAGAGATTATGTACAAGTGTTTTTCCTTGATGGATATACATATGTGTAACCTACCCCCCCCTTCATTCAGTTAAACTAATATAATCTATACAGTCCACAATTAATTAGTAGCACCGTACTTGTGGGTGCTATCCAATCCATACTGGTCTCGGATAGATATGGATAAGATTGTGAGGTTGAAGGAACCACCTGCCGTGACCAGGGGTGGTTAAGTTTTCTCACATGTCTACACGGGGTGACTACGGTAAATAATATGGTTGTCTCCCAATGAGTTTACTTGCAAGCATGTAATGTTGAGTTACATAAAGGTATTCACCCTAGACAATTTTCCATAATATTATAATCAGTCAAGATTATAACGTTAAAAATTAAAACAGCTAAGTAACTTTTTTTTTTTTTTTTTTTATTCGCCGGTATTCTCCCGGCCCGGGTCTTTTCCAAGTAGTGGTGACCCGGCCTTGGCTCCCTATCTGGGGAGTGTCTCGAGACTTAAGTCTCCCATGGGAGGAGGTACAGTACCTCCTCATCTTTGGGACCAAGTGTCCCCAGGCCTAGCCACATTCCCCGCCCTCACGGGGCTCGTAGGGAGAAGCTAGGCCTCTGGTCTGCCATCTACCCCGCCTCAAATGGGCTCGTGGGGATGACAGTCTTGTGAGTTGCAGGTGGTAGCAAGCTCAGGCTTTTTTATTAGCTAAGTAACTTACCTGTGTGAACCATTATTCCACCACTTACAAAAAAAAAAAGAAAAAATATTAAGTAAATTTATGCCAAAATTTACATTTTTTGCTTACTAATTCGGTTGATAACATCAAATAAAAACGAAATTAACCTAAAGAAAAATCGTATAACAAAAAAAAAGGTCATACCAAATTATTGACAGATTTGTATAGTGTTTTCCGAGATATTAAAATTTTTTTTTCGATTTTTCTTAACCAAATTCGCCAAATTGGTACCCTGACCTAGAATTTATATATTAATTTTGTAAAACAAGTCACCCAGTTTTGGGCGACATCTTTTAATTTTTTTTAATTAATATGACTTAGTCAATCATTGATAGTGCCAGACTGCTGGCAAAGCCAGTCATTGTGTTAAGAGTGACAGGTACTGGTGTTATCAGTAAGTTGATTCAGGTATACATAAATACAGTTATATAGATAATCATACATAGCCCCCCAGGGAAGCTTCCTTGATGTTGGTGAGGGGCTCTTGATTTAGGGAATTGGATCTGTGCTCCAGTTCCCCGAATTAAGCCTGAATGCCTTCCACATCCCCCCAGGCGCTGTATAATCCTCCGGGTTTAGCGCTTCCCCCTTGATAGGGGCTCTGGTGGCCTGGTGGTTAACGCTCTCGCTTCACACGGCGAGGGTCCGGGTTCGATTCCCAGCCAGAGTAGAAACATTGGACGTTTCTTTCCACCTGTTGTCTATGTTCCCCATCAGTAAAATGAGTACCTGGGTGTTAGTGGACTGGTGTGGGTCGCATCCTGGGACACTGACTTAATTTGCCCGACATGCGGAGCATAACAAGGGAGTTTCTATATATTAGTATGTCATTGTTGTCAGCTAGGACTGTATACCTTGTACATGTACTTGTAGTAAATAAAAATATTATTATTATTGATTATAATAATAATAATAATCCCAGTGGAATTAAGTCACTTTGACATTTTTGGGTTATCCTAGGTAAGTTTATTTAGACACATGTACACGTAAGTACAGTTATCATTTCATAGTGTAAATTACCTAGAATAACCCAAAAGTCAGATAAAGTGACTTATTTCCATTGTATGATAATTGTATTTATTGTAACCACTTAAATAAGCTTACTTTCCAGGTGTCACACATGCGGGTTTATTAAAATTGAAATGTTTATTTCTCGGTAAAGATTACAATGTGTGGTTTACATATTATACAATATTAATTACTATATGTGGTTTACATACAAAATATTAATTACAAAGAAGGCCACTGGCATGCCTAGGTATTTCGGACTTTTTACTATTATGTACTTTAATTACCTTCCATGACCACTACTGGGTAATTTATTTCTGCTGAATGATCGGATTTTGTACTTAATGAAATACTGTATACTTTTTTCAAGATAGCATCTTATTATTTTCTAGAACCACTTTTAGGTAAATTAATACATACTTTTCAGAGACCACTGATTAAGTTATTGGTCTACACCCTCAAGGGACGTTCCTTGATGCTGATGAGGTGCTCTTGATCTAGGGAAATGGATCTGTGCTCCAGTTCTTTGAATTGAGTCTGAATACCTTCTATCATCCCCACAGGTGCTGTATAATCCCTACGGGTTTAGCGCTCCCCCATAATTATAATATTGCTCTACATAACCGGGAGCTTTCTATAAAGTAAGTTAATGCCATTCTTTAATGAACTGTAAATCATACTTTGTATAAATCAAGTTATCATTTATCAATTATTACTTCTCAAGAATAAAGAGTAAAGAATAAAGATTTTATTTCTTTGCAAAGGTTACACTGTATAGCCCTTGTGGCTTAGCGCTTCTTTATTATTATAATAATAATGCAAAGGTTACAATGTGTAATTTTGATTTCTTAAGTACAAAGAAATTCACTATCATGCCAGGGCAATTGTTACATTTTGTGACTGCTTTGGGGTCAGTTATTACATCCTGTGACTACTTTGGGGTCAATTATTATATCCTGTGACTACTTTGGGGTCAGTTATTATATCCTGTGTACTTTGGGGTCAATTATTACATCCTGTGACTACTTTGGGGTCAATTATTACATCCTGTGACTACTTTGGGGTAAATTATTACATCCTGTGACTACTTTGGGGTCAATTATTACATCCTGTGACTACTTTGGGGTCAATTATTACATCCTGTGACTGCTTTGGGGTCAATTATTACATCCTGTGACTACTTTGGGGTCAATTATTACATCCTGTGACTACTTTGGGGTAAATTATTACATCCTGTGACTACTTTGGGGTAAATTATTACATCCTGTGACTGCTTTGGGGTCAATTATTACATCCTGTGACTACTTTGGGGTCAATTATTACATCCTGTGACTACTTTGGGGTCAATTATTACATCCTGTGACTACTGTGGAAGAAAAGGTAAGATAGCATTGCAGAAGTAAAATTTAAAACTGTTGTGCCTACCATTGTATTAATTAATTTAAATTACATTATTTGTATGGCATAAAGAAATGAACATTATTACTAATTATTATTACTTATTATAAAATTAATATTACTTATCATTATTTATTATTATTATTATTATTATTATTATTATTATTATTATTATTATTGTTACTGTGTACTACTATTACTACACATTTTTAATGATTACTATACTCATGTTCTGTAAAACCCTTGTTATCTACAATTCTAGTCATAGGTTTAGGTATTTAAGCAAATCTTTTAGTGGCACTGTAATTACTTACACATATAAATATCTTATTATTTTTAATATAAGAATGAAATGAGTTCATTGGTGTCCCTAACAAATTGTTTGGAAGACTTGGTGGTGAAAGCTCTGGTTGACTCATTATTGTATGCAAGATTTGTAGGTTAGGTCATCATTGTCTCTCAGTAAGGACTGCAAACAATATTAAATTTTAAAGATTCTTTATTTTAGCATGGTACAATGAGCATTTCAGGCAAACTTAAGCCTGTCTTAAGACTAAATTGTGAGGTGCTGTACAAGAATTAATAAAAAAAGTGCTTTGATGACTTAACCTAGGACATTTATACAAATCTTCAACCTAGGATATTCATACAAAACTTCAGCCTAGGATATTCATACAAATCTTCAGCCTAGGATATTCATACAAATCTTCAACCTAGGATACAGTGGACCCCCGCATAACGATTACCTCCGAATGCGACCAATTATGTAAGTGTATTTATGTAAGTGCGTTTGTACGTGTATGTTTGGGGGTCTGAAATGGACTAATCTACTTCACAATATTCCTTATGGGAATAAATTCAGTCAGTACTGGCACCTGAACATACTTATGGAGTGAAAAAATATCGTTAACCGGGGGTTTACCTGGAGTTTACCTGGAGAGAGTTCCGGGGGTCAATGCCCCCGGCCCGGTCTGTGACCAGGCCTCCTGGTGGATCAGAGCCTGATCAACCAGGCTGTTGCTGCTGGCTGCACGCAAACCAACGTACGAGCCACAGCCCGGCTGATCAGGAACTGACTTTAGGTGCTTGTCCAGTGCCAGCTTGAAGACTGCCAGGGGTCTGTTGGTAATCCCCCTTATGTGTGCTGGGAGGCAGTTGAACAGTCTCGGGCCCCTGACACTTATTGTATGGTCTCTTAACGTGCTAGTGACACCCCTGCTTTTCATTGGGGGGATGGTGCATCGTCTGCCAAGTCTTTTGCTTTCGTAGTGAGTGATTTTCGTGTGCAAGTTCGGTACTAGTCCCTCTAGGATTTTCCAGGTGTATATAATCATGTATCTCTCCCTCCTGCGTTCCAGGGAATACAGGTTTAGGAACCTCAAGCGCTCCCAGTAATTGAGGTTTTTATCTCCGTTATGCGCGCCGTGAAAGTTCTCTGTACATTTTCTAGGTCGGCAATTTCACCTGCCTTGAAAGGTGCTGTTAGTGTGCAGCAATATTCCAGCCTAGATAGAACAAGTGACCTGAAGAGTGTCATCATGGGCTTGGCCTCCCTAGTTTTGAAGGTTCTCATTATCCATCCTATCATTTTTCTAGCAGATGCGATTGATACAATGTTATGGTCCTTGAAGGTGAGATCCTCCGACGTGATCACTCCCAGGTCTTTGACGTTGGTGTTTCGCTCTATTTTGTGGCCAGAATTTGTTTTGTACTCTGATGAAGATTTAATTTCCTCGTGTTTACCATATCTGAGTAATTGAAATTTCTCATCGTTGAACTTCATATTGTTTTCTGCAGCCCACTGAAAGATTTGGTTGATGTCCGCCTGGAGCCTTGCAGTGTCTGCAATGGAAGACACTGTCATGCAGATTCGGGTGTCATCTGCAAAGGAAGACACGGTGCTGTGGCTGACATCCCTGTCTATGTCGATATGAGGATGAGGAACAAGATGGGAGCGAGTACTGTGCCTTGTGGAACAGAGCTTTTCACTGTAGCTGCCTCGGACTTTACTCTGTTGACGACTACTCTCTGTGTTCTGTTAGTGAGGAAATTATAGATTCCATCGACTGACTTTTCCTGTTATTCCTTTAGCACGCATTTTGTGCGCTATATACGCCATGGTCACACTTGTCGAAGGCTTTTGCAAAGTCTGTATATATTACATCTGCATTCTTTTTGTCTTCTAGTGCATTTAGGACCTTGTCGTAGTGATCCAATAGTTGAGACAGACAGGAGCGACCTGTTCTAAACCCATGTTGCCCTGGGTTGTGTAACTCATGGGTTTCTAGATGGGTGGTGATCTTGCTTCTTAGGACCCTTTCAAAGATTTTTTATGATATGGGATGTTAGTGCTATTGGTCTGTAGTTCTTTGCTGTTGCTTTACTGCCCCCTTTGTGGAGTGGGGCTATGTCTGTTGTTTTTAGTAACTATGGGACGACCCCCGTGTCCATGCTCCCTCTCCATAGGATGGAAAAGGCTCGTGATAGGGGCTTCTTGCAGTTCTTGATGAACACAGAGTTCCATGAGTCTGGCCCTGGGGCAGAGTGCATGGGCATGTCATTTATCGCCTGTTCGAAGTTATTTGGCGTCAGGATAACATCGGATAGGCTTGTGTTAATCAAATTTTGTGGCTCTCTCATAAAAAATTAATTTTGATCTTCGACTCTCAGTCTGGTTAGCGGCTTGCTAAAAACTGAGTCATATTGGGACTTGAGTAGCTCACTCATTTCCTTGCTGTCATCTGTGTAGGACCCATCTTGTTTAAGTAGGGGCCCAATGCTGGACGTTGTTCTCGATTTTGATTTGGCATAGGAGAAGAAATACTTTGGGTTTCTTTCGATTTCATTTTGGCTTTTAGTTCTTCCCGCGATTCCTGACTCCTAAAGGATTCTTTTAGCTGAAGTTCGATGCTTGCTATTTCTCTGACCAGTGTCTCCCTACGCATTTCAGATATATTGACCTCTTTTAGCCGCTCTGTTATTCTTTTCCATCGCCTGTAAAGGGAGCGCCTGTCTCTTTCTATTTTACATCTACTCCTCCTTTTTCTTAGAGGAATAAGCCTTGTGCATACATCGAGTGCCACCGAGTTAATCTGTTCTAGGCATAAGTTGGGGTATGTGTTGCTTAGTATATCTTCCCAGCTTATATCGGTTAGGACTTGGTTTACTTGGTCCCACTTTATGTTTTTGTTATTGAAGTTGAATTTGGTGAATGCTCCCTCGTGACTAGTCTCATTATGTCGGTCTGGGGCTCCACGCATACATGTCTGAACCTCAATTATGTTGTGATCTGAGTATATTGTTTTTGATATGGTGACATTTCTTATCAGATCATCATTGTTAGTGAAGATGAGGTCTAGTGTATTCTCCAGTCTAGAAGGCTCTATTATTTGCTGGTTTAAATTGAATTTTGTGCAGAGATTTAAAAGCTCGTGTGAGTGTGAGTTTTCATCAGAGCTGCCTCCTGGTGTTATTACTGCAACAATATTATTTGCTATATTCCTCCATTTTAGGTGCCTTAAGTTGAAATCCCCCAGGAGCAAGATGTTGGGTGCAGGAGCTGGAAGATTTTCCAGACAGTCGTCAATTTTTAACAGCTGTTCCTGGAATTGCTGGGATGTTGCATCTGGAGGCTTGTAGACTACCATAATGACTAGGTTTTGGTTCTCGACCTTTACTGCTAAAACTTCCACTACATCATTTGAGGCATTAAGCAGTTCTGTGCAAACAAGTGACTCTGCAATGTACAGGCCAACCCCCCCCCTTTTGCCTGTTCACTCTGTCACATCTGTATAGGTTGTAACCTGGGATCCATATTTCATTGTCCAAGTGATCCTTTATGTGGGTCTCAGTGAAAGCCGCGAACATTGCCTTTGCCTCTGCAAGCAGTCCACGGATGAAAGGTATTTTGTTGTTTGTTGCTGGCTTTAGACCCTGTAATATTGCAAAGAAGAATGTTATCGGACTGGTGGGATTGTTGGTACTGGGGGGGGATTTTTTTTTCCGCATTAGTATCTGTATCTGTTGGTTTGGAGTGGGGGCCATCGACTGGGGTTCCACTCCAGGAATGATGATTTGTGACGTTTCTCCCTTTTCCCTCCCAGTTTTTTTTCCTTCCTGGCACTAAAAAACCTCTCCCTCTTGGTGGCTGTGGCACCCGGGTTTTCCCCCAGGGCCTGGATGTTTTGTATCTTTTTGTCCCCTTTTAATGGTTGCCTGGCAATTTAAGTTAAGCACAGTCTTTCCTGTACTGAAGAGGTACACATTTTCGGGGGAAAAAAAGTTTAGGGGAAGGGAGTTTGCATTTCTTGTTGTATATGGGCATGCTTTTTTCTAGGGTGCCCTAGTTGCAGTCCACTGTTTTTCCAGATTTCCCATCCCAGAGATACCAAATGCATGTAGGCACAGGTTTGGGTTTTCCTTTTCCCCCCCTTTGGGTTTCTGTGATGTTTTCCCCTGTTGGGAGTTTTTCCCTGTCTTACTTCTATCCCCCCTAGCACCAACAATGGAGCCCCCACCATTTTTTTTGGTAATATATCCTCATATTGCAGGAGTCCTCTGTTTTCTATTTCCCGTGGTATTTCTAGTTTGCAAATTGGTTTTATCTACTTTTACTACACTTTTTTTCCCCCTATGGCTCCTGTCCCCTATGAGGTCATTTAATGTATTCCTTCCTGGTTAATTCCGACTACCGGACAAAATCTCCGCTTTACCATTACTGTCTCCCAGGACAGCTTTTTCCACTTCACCATTACTGCCCCAGGACAGCACCTCCAGCTTCACCATTCGTCCCCAGGGGCAGCCCCCCCCCACTTCACAATTCTGTCTCCCAGGGGCAGCACTATCAGCCCCCACATTTACTGACACCAACATCACCCCATCCTTACGTTTGTGACTACATGGCCATATCAAGGGCATACCATTCAGCCCCGACTTTTTTTTTCCCATTGTTGTAAAAGCTTCCAGGTTTTCTATGAAAGCAGCTTTATTTATCCTCTTTTAATGCCCTTTTGATTTTAGTCCACAGATTTTCCCCCTTTGGGCATACCCAAAAACACTTCCCTGTTTTAACACTGCTTGTACATTCTGGGTTCTGCACAAGGGGCGGACACCAATTTCCACAAAAAAAACAATTTATCCATGTGGAAGCCCCTTTGTTTGAGGGCCCAAAACTACACCCCAGCTTCATAATGATTTAATGGGGTTTATTTACTGAATTCTACTAGCAACCTCTTGAATATTCTATTAAAACCTCCTTAAATGAAGCTCTAGCTATTGTATTTCGTTTTTAAAAGTTTTTTTTTTTGGACTGCTTACCGTCCCGTTCCCGATTTATATTTAAAAGTTTTGTTTTATAAGGGGCCCACAACCCCATCCTTTTTCAGTCTGCTTTATTTCCCAAAGAAACCGTTTGAAACCAGTCAAGGGTTCCCTGTATTTAAACAAATTCTTAACCTAGGATTCATAAGGGGGGTTACCAATAGACCCCTGGCTGTTTTAACAGGAAGGATAAGCCCTAAGTCGGTACCTGACCACTGGGGTGTGGCTCGTGCATTGGAATTGCGTGCAGCCAGCAGTAAAACCTGGGTTTATCAGACTCTGATCCACCAGAAGGCCCCTTACAGACTGGGTCCAGGGGATTGACCCCAAAAAAAAAAACTCCCAGGGGAAAATCCATGTAAACTCCAGGATATTCATACAAATCCTTATAGTGTACTACTGGATTCATATTAAGTGTGTCCTCACCTTTCACACTGAGGGACTGGGATTAGTCCCCAGAATGGGTAGAAAGTTGGGCACATGTCCTTACACCTGCTGCCCCTGTTTGCTTAGCAGTAAGTGGGTATGTGGGTGTTAGGTGACTGTTGTGGGTAACATCATGGAGGAAAAGATTAAAAGTCCTCAGTAGAAATAAGATAGTTCCCTATGATGCACTGACTTTATTGCATTAAGTAAAAGGAAACAGGTGCAACTTTTGTTCTTTTACCTAATGTATAAGTGTGTCCTTTTACTTAACATAATGTCCTTTTACATAACACATTGTTAAGTTGTTAGATAATAGATTTGTCAAGCCATTATCTAACAGCTTAACAAAACTCCTGGAGAGGAAATGTCGCCACAATAAAATGTCACATTTATTTATTTATTTATTTATTTTAGAAATTTTAGCATACAAACAGAGGTACAAAAAATACAGGTAAGAGCAGCATGCCAAAGCCACTTATATGCATAGCATTACGGGCTGGCTTAAAATTAACTTAAGATTAACTAAGCAATGATGAAATCAGTGATAAGACATTATTGTAAACAGATAACTATAAAATACAAATGAGTATTACAAAGACAGGTCCTATGGTTGCATGCATTGCTGTTCATTCAGTAGAATGGAGTATTCTGTTAGGTAGTGTATTTAAAAAAATAACAAAGTTAGGTTTAACATTTGTGTGATATAATTGTGAGTAACATTTACGATATACAATTTATATGGTTCAGTTATTCAGTATTTATTTGGTTTTGAGTGAGTAAGTGAACTTTGAGAAGAGACTTGAATTTATAAACAGGTAGTGTTTCTTTTATATTTACAGGTAATGAATTCAGATTTTAGGGCCTTTTATGTGCATTGAGTTTTTGCATAGCGTGAGATGGACACGAGGAACATCAAAGAGTGATCTGTGCCTTGTATTATGGTCATGTGTTTCTGTTGAGGTTGGCAAGGAGATGTTTGAGGGGAGGGTTAATATCAGAGTTAAGTGTTCTATGTATGTAATAAGTGCAATAATAAGTATGGATGTTTTGTATGGTGAGTAGGTTGAGTGTTTTGAATATTGGTGGAGTGTGCTGCCTGTAGTGAGAATTTGTTATCATTCTAACTGCAGCCTTTTGTTGGGTAATTAGTGGTCTGAGATGGTTAGTTGTTGTTGAGCCCCATGCACAAATTCCATAGGTGAGATAGGGGTAAATAAGAGAGTGATAAAGGGCCAGGAGGGCTGACTGTGGAACATAGTACCGCACTTGTGTCCTTTTACTTAACACAGACTTTATTGAGTTATCCTGGATGGCTAAACCTATGAGTTAAAAACAAATCCCCCAAAATCTTACCGTACTCTCAACATTTTTTTGTGGTTCTTCTTCTTTCAACAAACCGGCAATATCCCACCAAGGCAGGATGACCCAAAAGGAAAAGTAAAAGTTTATCTTTTTAACTTTAGTAATGTATACAGGAGAAGGGGTTACTAGCCCATGTTTTGTGGTTATATTATAATATTGTTTTATAAGTTTGAATATATCATGTAAATAACTCTTCAACAAAATTTAAATTCATGATGTTGAATGCTAAATATATGAGTTGAAATATTTCTTTCTGCTTTACAATCTGTATATAAGATTTTTTTGTAGCCTCACTTCGTATTATATTTTAGTTTAGTGCTATGTAACCACAAAGATTTTTTTTTTTTTACACAAATTAGTTTTGCAGGCTAAGAACTGTTATCCTACCTCAGCTCATTTCAATGCTCATCCCTATCTAAGGTATATTACCACCCCTCAGGATGCGACCCACATCAGTCGGCTAACACCCAGGTACCTACTCACTGCTAGGTGAACAGGGGCAGCAGATGTAAGGAAATATGCCCAACATTTCCACCCATACAGGGGATCGAACCACAGACACTCAGCGTGTGTGTCAGCCGAGTGTGCTAATAACCGAGCTACGGGACTGTTTCCCCATGAATATAATAATAATAATATTATCTTATTAGTGTAAGGTTGCCCCTGAAGATGGAATCAAGAGAGAAGTATAGCAAGGATACATACTATGTGTTAGGTCAGACCATCAGTCACGAGGAGGACCTGCTACACGAGTTTAAGGGTCACCGTAACATTTCCATTCATGATATACCTAGCCATGCCCTTGCGAGTGCTGGGGCAAAAGAACGAACCAGGAACGCTGTCTCTGTGTATGTATCAGTGCTTCATTATGTATTACACCACCTGTTTGCCTGTGTATCACAGCACCTGTATGTCTATGCATCACAGCACCTGTATATCTATGTAGCACAGCACCTGTATGTCTATGTATCACAGCACCTGTATGTCTATGTATCACAGCACCTGTATGTCTTATGTATCACATCACCTGTTTGTGTATGTATCACAGCACCTGTAGGTTTATGTACTGCAGTACCTGTTTGTGTATATATACATGTACATACATTACAGTACATGTATATAGTATAAGCAATTTCATGTGTGTATATTAGCACCTGTATATGCATGTATTACATCACTGGTATGTGCATGTATCATCAGCACCTAGTACATATGTATGCACCCACAACACCTATACATGTGTATGCATCACAGCACCTGTACATGCAAATATGATCAGTGACAGGCCTACATTTTTGGGGCCCTGAAGCTTGAACTGTTATGGGGTACCCATGCAGCCCCTTCTCATACAGTAGACCCAAAATTTTTAACCCTTAAACTGTCCAAATGTAGATCTACGTTTTCACTGCTAGTGCTCCGAACGTAGATCTACATTTTTTTTACATCTGAAAGCATGCAAAATAAAATGTAAATCTATGTTCAGAGCGCTAGCGGTGCAAACGTAGATCTACGTTTGGACAGTGTGGACTAGTCGCTTCTGGGGCCCCTCCAGGATTACGGGCCCTGAAGCTTAAGCTTTGTTATTTTCATAGAACGTATATCTGTCCCTTCATGTGACTAGATAGGTAGCTCTTGGCTCACTGGTAGTGCCTTTGGCTCACAACTGAAGGACCCAAGTTTTATCTTGGAACAAGTGGTGCTAAAAGGATCATATAAGACAGTAATGATTTTCCCAGTAAAATAGCATAAATAAATACTGAACAAATGTACATGAAGCAGATAAAAATCACAATAACATGCATAAGAATAAGAACACTTAGATTATACTATACTCTAGTGAATATAAATTAATATACATAAACACATGTTCACACACATCTTTAAACTAGCTTGTTGAATTTTTATCCATTACTCAACCTCCATTACTTCTCGTTTCTATTTTTTTTCTACTTTCGTATATTGTACCATATGTTTCAATTACGTACTTTCATTCTGATATAACTCTTATATATTGAGTTTTTTACATCCAATAATCATTATAACTAACTTCTTCTATACATGTCTTCTACAGTAATCTTCATAGAACTTGTAGTACATTACTGTATATTGTACAGGTCTGCCATCACTAATCCGGCATCATTGGGACCTGTAGTGTGCCAGATTAGTGAGTTTGCCGAATTACAGAGTGGTTAGCTTAGAATACACTTAATTAACCTATCAATAGAGACTTTCTCCTACATCTTCCTCGTTTTCATCATTGCTTTCTCCTCCACTGGCTTGCTGCTGTTGATTTACAACCATCTGCACAATTTCCAGGTCAGTATAATGATGAAATTTGAAATTATGCTAACCGAAATTAATGCCGGATTACTGATGGAACCAGATAGTAACTGATTGCTGGATTAGTGATGACTGACCTGTATTTGTATTGTTTTATATTGTAATATATGGCAAGTTCATACATTAGTTCCACTCACCTATTTGCAACTTGACAGTTTTATTTTATTTTATTATATTGACTTGTACTGTAATCATTCAGTTTTTTATAATATATTTTATGAATTATGTTGTATCCTGTGTCTTTTTCTAACTTCCTATTAATACCATATGTATATATAAACTAAAAAAAATAATAAATGAAGCTATGTAGTTCTTTAAAGTAGACTATGTTTTGCCCAAAATACTGTGCATGCTATGGGCTCTTATTATTATTTTGTAAAAACAATATTTGGAAATAAAGAATTTGGTACATAACTACTAGTAGAATATTCTGTTGAAATTTCAAAATGTCACTGTCTTCCCATTCTCTAGATTAATTAATTAGGAACTTCTTAATTTTGGTGCTAAATTGGCATATACTGTTACTGATCTTGACATAATTAGGTAACCCATTGCAGTCTTTCATAGATGTATTGGAGGTACAGTGGAACCTTGGTTTACGAACCTAACCTTCCTACCTTGTTCGTATCCTGATTTGTTTTATGCAGAGTCGTTTTCCTCATTTAAATTTAATTAAAAAGTCATAATTTTTTTCCAAATTCCCGTTAGAGGCAGGAAAAAACATTTAAATATAACATAAATCAACTCAGGGCTTATTTATTATCCATTGATCTAATATGACATAAAAAAACAATATAAATAACATAGAAACCTGATATATACTCTAGAATGAATAAAAATGTCTTAAAGGGACCAGAGGGGCGGCCTAACCTCTTCCGCATTGTTGTGGTATTCACTGCCATCTATGACACCCTTTCGAAGCTATTATAATTTTTTAAGTACTTTATTATTGTATTAAAATTAGATGTACAGTTTATTATATTATTTTACATTTTATTATTACTATTATAAGGGGGAACACTTGGGGGGGGGAGGGGATGAAGTTTCATTTAATTTGGGGAACTGGAACACAGATAAAATTTCCCTGGATCAGAGCCCCTCACCACATACATACTACTAAAAAAATAAAAATACAATAAAATAGTATTAATAAAAAAAAAAAATAATAAATATAATAACAGAAAAGGAGAAATTCAAAGGCTGCATAGCTGGTCCCCATGATCACAGAACATGTCACCACTACCACCTTCACCTATCTAGATTTAAGTAGTCTATAATATTGGGTTAAGTCGCCCAAATGCCTGGGGCATATAGTGGCTTTCTTTGCTCCAATCATTTATGAAAATAAAACACACTTTGGGTAACCTTTCCAAAGAAATAAATTTTTTTATATATTTTTTATTTTTTTTTTAAAGGGAACCTCCCTTCGGGGGAAAGTATGCATCCTAAAATTTTTTTTCATATCCAAAGCAAAAAAATCGACCGAACGATGGTTCAAATCCTAAAAAGTTCGCATGGTGGGGGGCTTTTTGTAAGCCAGGTTCCATTGATTTGATGCCTAACAGTGTACACTAGTTTTGCAAAAATTTGTGTATATATATCAATTTTTCAAAATAAAAATAATTAATAATAATGAAATTGACTAAATTGCTGGAAAAAAGGGGCTAGAAACCCCCTTCCCTTTAAAATTTACTAAATGTAAAAAAGAAAAAACTTTTTTATTTTTTTTTTGAGTCGCCCTCCCTTTTGGGAGACGGCCAATTTTAAAAAAAAAATAATGACAATTTACTTGATTCATGGTCATGTACACATTCTGCTCACAACGAAAGATCTGGGTTCAGTTCGGGTCTTTTATTGTTACTTAAGCATTGCATAGAAAATTTAAAATTGGGTAAATATTAAAAAAATGAACATAATACATCTGTAAGAATTTTTTTTAAAATTGTTTCCAGAATTTGGGGGGTAGCTAACTGGGGTCATGGTGGTACCTCCCGGGATTTTGTGAAAAATGGTCGGGTCAAGGGCATGACCCTAACCGGGGTAAGTTTTATTTTAGAAATCTACATATGACTTTTTTTTGGGGATTTGATGTCTGTTGGGTGTGGCAATTATATAACATGAAGAAAACCCAGGAAAACAAATTTTTTAAACTTGAGTTTCTGAAGGTGAGAAGTCAAACCGTTCTCCAAAAAGAATTGATTTTGTAGTTCAAGGGCATCTGAATTACGATCTCATTCACTTGTGGTAAGAACGAATTGGATGTTCATACACGGAGGAAGAACTGAATTGTGAGTTTCTACCCTAGTGGTAAGAACCCACATTGTACGGGTTTTTTGGGGGTTTACAATTTTTCCCCACAAAAACCCAAGGGCTGTTTTATAGATTTGGGTTTTTTTTTTTTCCTGAGTTTTTCAAACTTGCAGCTGTTGGAAAGTTTTCCAAAACTCTAAAATTTTTTCCAGCACCTAAGAGTTTTAAAAGGAAAAACCTTTAAATCAAGTTTGCTAAACTCCATGATACTAAACCCATCAAAATTAGCTGATTCCCTGATATTGATACTTTGGCACACCCAAGTTTATATCCTACCTACCTGCAAAATACAGGCAGTTTTTTTATATATAGCAACAAGTTACTATTGCACTTGCAGGACCGAAAGATCATTTTGAAGTATCTCTGAGCTGGACCCTGGGGGATACAAAACCACCTTTCCAGAGCCCCCCTTACTCTGTATCTCTGCCTGTCTCCTAACAAAATCAACACTTCCCCAGAAAATTGATGAGTAAGTCCCACATTGTACTGCTGTACTTACACCCACCCCTTTGAAAACCTTTAACACACAGTTACATATTACAGTAATTAGTTTTTTTTTCATCCTGCTTGCTCCATCTAGCATATTAAAAATGAAAATGTATAAGGACGTTTTTTGTTATCTAAGAAAAGGTTTTGATACAGCAAACCACAACATCCTGCCTTCTTTTACAGTCATATATCCCATTATTTTTCATATCCTCCTTTTTTAAGGGAACAAATGGATTTGTAAAGTTAAAAATAGGAGAGGGGTTATTAAAGGGAGAGTTAGAGGTTTTGGGAAGAGGGAAAGGGAAATTTTTTTTGGGGAAATTGTTAAATTTGATGAAGATAGGGAAGCTGTGATTTCGTGTATAGGGAAAGGGAGGAATAACACTTGAGGAGTGAGGAAGAGCCATTTTGAGGGGGGGGGAAATTCGTGGGGCAGTAGGTAAAAAAAAAGGGGGAAAGGGCGGGCCGGGATTGAGGGGATAAAGAAGAATGTTAAAAGCGGGTGGGGAATATTTTTGGAGTGGTTGGTGCAATTATTTAATAAATTATGGAAGGGGTAAGGTACCTAGGGATTGGCAAGAGCATGCATATTTCCTTTGTATAAAGGCAAAGGGGGAAAAAAAGAAGTGCAAAAATTATAGGGGGAAAAGCTGTTGATTGTACCTGGAAATGTAGGGGTAGAGTATAATTGAAAAATTTAAAGAGTAAGAGGGAGAATGGGATAGCAGATGAAAAAGGAGGCTTTGGGAAAGGTAGGGGATGTGTGGCCCCAGGTTTTTAACAGTAAAACAAATAAGTGAACAGTATTTAGAAAAGTAAAAGGTCTTTGTGGCATTTAGATTTGGAAAGGCGTATGACAGGGGGATGGGGGGGCAATGTGGCAATGTTGCAAGTGATGGTGTAGGGGGTAGTTACTGAAAAGAGTGAAATTTTTACGG